GAGGTTATTGATATGACAGTCCACTTGACGCCATCGGAGGTAATCCATCACCACTTTGGAGTTCGGGTAAAGAATACATCGGCCGTCGAAAGCAGGCGGGTATTGGAGTGGAACTGATTGGTGACAACCATTCTGTGGTTTATTAGAGAAATATTGGGACCAATAGAAGACAAACGCGGAGCTGAATGAAGAGACTATAAGAGATGTGATCTTATTTTGTCTTCGTTTGTATAGATCAGACACCCGACGGATAATGAAACTGAATTCATCGCTTTGGCCTGCGATGGGATCAATACATTAGTTCACTCGTGAGTGAGATATCATGTCATACCGTAAGCCATGACTATATTGGGAAAGAAGGCTCGCATCACATGTTTGGCCGATTCGTTCATTAGATCCAAACAACTGTTCAACAGATGAATGCATTTAACAGTAAATACTATCTGAAGACATGTGAGACAAACCGTTTGTCATTAGGTTTGAAGAGATCGTGACATTTGCTAAACTTATGAAACTTGTGTCCATCGACTCGCACCACAATATAGCAGTCCTTCAGTAGGACATTGTCTGTGGGCTCTTCGTATGTGCGGACGTATTCATACTTGGATTGAGACATCTTATTATCACTGTATTTGGTGCCCAAGTGGTGTGAATAATGTAAATGACAGACAAACAGCTGATTGTGATTTAAATGATGAGTTTGTTTGAGAAAACTCGTGATAGTGTTGACAAACATCTCATGTAATATTGAGTTGACATGTGAACAGAGTTTACGTTACCTTATGTTCACTAATTCACAATACAATTGATTTGCACTTTCATTGCTATTAAACCCAATATTTGACAAACGATTGCATTGAATCAATGTGTTATTATTATATTTAATTAAAATCGTCACAAAACATAGCTATTTAATTGATTTATTTGAACTTAAGATTTAATAAGTTATCAATTTGTAGACATAATTACTGGCAAACAGTATGAAACACATTGACTGATTGCAAACATATCCTAAGAAAGCATTTAAAATTGATTTGAAAATTAAGTTTTTATTTCAAATGACAGTCAATTGTTTGAAATAGTAGTCGACAATCAAGTGCTCAGTGAAGTCGATGGACTCAATCCCATCGGTGGTCAAAGAGGCGGTTCTCGTGAAAAGCAGACCCAAAGGCAATAGTAATGACAACTCAATTGAAGACAACGGAAGGCAGACATCGATTCTGGACTCATATCCGACTCAAGTGAAGGGCTATGACTTCAACCAAGGGATCAATCACTCGGCACTCCTTCAGACATATCTGACCACTGGTTTCCAAGCGACCAGTTTTGGGCTTTCTGTCCAACAAATTGAGTCAATGGTAA